CCCAAACCCCAAACCCAAAGCCCCAAAAAGCCCAAACCCCAAACCCACAGCCCCAAAAAGCCCAAACCCTAAACCCAAAGTCCCTAAAAGCCCCAAACCCTAAACCCTAGACCGCTTGGGAGCCGTTTGAGGTCGGACCTCGGAGCAGTTGGAGGCATCGATCTTCTCACAGGTCAAGCCTCGAAGCTGCTGGGTGGGTGTCGACAGTTTCACAAAGCCCAAAACCCAAAACCCTAAAACTTCTAAACCCTAGACCCCTAAACCCCTAAATCCTAAACCCCAAAACCCCCAACCCCTAAACCCTTAGGCCAAAGGCCCTAAAGCCTAAATTAGAGTGTAGGGTTTGGGGTTTAGGGGGTCTAGTTTTGGGGTTAATGTAGGGGCCGGAATGATTAGAATAGGGTTGTGGGTTCCATTATACTAGAATTATGATAAGGAACCCCCAAGATAGTATAGGTAATTATTAAGGCCACTAGGTTACCTCGCTCAAAGAACCGGAAGTGTGACACATCCTGGAGAAGAGCGACGCACGGACGATGCGGAAAACAAAAAGGCTGTCCCATCGCTGTTGATGTAAGCATTTGCTTATACCTTTGTACTGACCCACTACGTCTCAAAGATCTAAACCGCAGAAGCCCTTGCATTAAGCCGTTGGGCAATGCACGAACTTGGGTGACGGAGAGCGAGTTCCCCCATATCATCAGCACCGCTGCTTCGAACCTGAACCTGCTCCTTCCTTTGAGCCCTCATGCGTACCCGGACACCGAAAGCATGTAGAATAATAGCCTTTTGTGGGTTTTGGGCCATTATTCCACCTACTTTTGGGGGTTTAGGTAGGGCTTGGGGTTTAGGGTTTCCTTTCAGCCCTCATGTTCTAAATGCTAAGACCGTGGCCCTAAGCCCTGAAGCCCAAACAACCCCCCAGCGCATAAACCCTGCACCCGGCGTCGCCATGCCTTTCAAGCCTCTTACACTATCTTCAATCCAGATCCCTGCAAGCTTCTCAGTGAGGGAACCAAGATCTACTGACCATTAGAACCCCAAACCGTGTACTTTACTAGAATAATAGGAGCCGAATTTCGAAGAGCCCGCCTGAAGGAGGTGGATCTTGGCATGGCTGCCGCCTGGGTGGAAGCCGCGGAGCTCTTGTGAAAGTTCGGAAGTTAGGCGAATGGGGGTTGGGGGTGACCAGCTCGAAATCGGATGTAATAGCTAGCTGAAACCGTCGGTTGAGGAATGCACGGGGTTGGATGACATATCGAAGTCAGTTTGCACGAACTGACTCGCTGTGGCTTCCAAATCTTCATGGTTCGTCCTCCTGACTCACCACGTAAAGGTTCAATTCTCCGATCATTAGCTTCTCGATCGTCTCCTGAAACATCGGAACCTTCTGGATGAGTGGCTGCGGGGCGTTCGCGGAATGCAGGCACACCACTCTTCGTCGATAGATGGATGTTCCCTTGGACTGGTAGTGCTGCAGGATGGAACCTTGAAGATCGTCCAAGGATAATATAGGGGCCTTAACAATTAGAATGGGGGTTGTTGGGGCCCATTATACTAAAATCATAATAAGAAACCCCCAAAATAGTATATGCAATTATTTAGGCTCCTAGATTGGTGCGTTACGTCCCCAAGATCAAATTCTTTGAATCTGGGAGGTGCCGGAGTGCCCGATCCCATTCCACAAGAACTAGATCAAAACATAATATATTTAACTCGGACCGGCCAATTAAATGAATGTGAGAAATTTAACTCCGTAGGGTATATTTGCCACCTGCTGGCTGTTGCTTAGTACAATTTTAATGCCGAAAAGCCCTAAAGCCCTAAGCCCTGAACCCACGGACAGAAAAAGCTCCCCAAACCCAACCAGCAGGGCTTTGGGTGTAGGGTTTAGGGCTTAGGATTTAGGGCTTGGGGCGTAGTGGGTTTAGGGCTTAGGGTTTAGGGTTTAGTAGGGTTTAGGCGTAGGGTTTAGGGTTTGGGGGTTTAGGGCTTAGGGTTTAGGGTTTAGGGTTCAGAAGCAGGAGAGCTTGAAGAGACGCTGTACCCTAAGCTGAGGCTCAGGGTTTGGGTATGCAGGACTTTCGCCTACAAGACCCACATAAAACCCTGAGAAATCCCCTACCCTAACGAAGCAATAAAACCGCGATTGGACGAAACCCTGGCGCTTGGTTTGGGGCTCAGGCCTCAAAACCTGCGCCACGTCAATCTTTAAGCCCTGTACTCCGACCACTGCAATACAGGGGCCCAAATATTAAGAATACGGTTTGGGATGTTTTGGGGCATGTTCTGCTACAAGTATGATGAGGAACCCTGAGGAATAGTACTGGTAGCTATTCAGATCCCTGCATACAACCCCCCAAGCCCGGAAACGCCAGAACTCTTCAGCGAGCTGCGGTAGACAGCCCACCAGCTCCGGTTTATCGATGCACTGCCTGGCTCAGTGGTGGCCCTCGGGTTTAGAGTCATTACTTCCCCAATAGCCAGGGAAATAAAAGGTCAAAATTTCAGATTTCTACTACAGTAGATTATAAGAGCCCAAAACATGCAAAGGTTGGGTATTGGGGAACTAAGAGTCTAGGGTGTAGGGTAACCCTAAACTAAACTCTAGGGTGTAGGGTAACCCTAAACTAAACTCTAGGGTGTAGGGTAACCCTAAACTAAACTCTAGGGTGTAGGGTGACCCTAAACTAAACCCGGTGGCTATCAGGCAAGCATGCCTCAGGGGAGGGTGCAACGGTCGAGGGGTTTGGCTTGAGCCCGGAGAGCCTGAGATGTTGGCGTACGATTTCGGGCTCAAGCCCTAAATAGCAATCTAGGGGCCTCTATCATTAGAAGAGGGCTTTGGGGGTTCCTTATTATAATCATAAGATACTATACCCCCAAACCCTATTCTAATTATTAAGGCCCCTAAATAGTATGATCCTCCCCATTATTAAGGCCCCCTAGCGCCCAGCCCCCCCCCCCGCCCCCCCGTACGGGTTAAGGATGGACTTCCTTCAATGGATGCAAAGGGCTCAGGATTTTCACTAAGCTCCAGAGATCACTGGAGTTCGGAGTTAATCCTTTGGGGGGGTTGCCTCATGAGGTGTTTTTAGAAGGGTCCTTTTCTGAGGGTTTGGGGTTTAGGGATGTTTGGAGTTTGGGGTTTCAGGGGGTGTTCGGGGCTTGCGATGCTGTAGAAACGGGGTTTGGCAGCTGATGCTCGAAGACTGCAAACGACTTGATCACAACTCTCGTGCAAAAGTCTTTCTTGACCCGACACCTGCAGCCCCGACGCCTTTTTCGTTTGTCATTAGTAGGTTGCTGCTCTTTAAATACTGGGTATGACCGTCCCTAACTGGTATGCAGTTCGAGCCACAAGTATCCTGGTGGATATTGATTGTTGGTTTCGGGTGATCTGGGGCTGTGGTCACGCATGTGGCAGGTTCGTGAATGTCCAGGAAATAAGATCTGTGCAAACCAGGCAGTTGACTGGCCTTAAGAATTACAGCTAGAAGTTGGGGGGCATGGTCTAATATAAGGGACTGTCAGGGGGTACGACTACTAAGTGTTCAGACCTGCAAATAAAACCCCCTGAGCCCCAAATCCTAAAACCTCTAAAAAAACCCTGAAGCCCCTGAGACGTAAATGTTGACTTCGAAAAAACCACCGAAACCAAACCTTGATGCCTGAACAACCGAGGGCCTAAACCCTGCCGCCCCCAAAGCCTGAGACCCGTAAGCCCTAAACCCTAAAACCCTCAACCTTAAACCCTAAAGCCCTAAACCCATAAACCCATAAACCGCAAAACCCAAAAACCCTAAAGCCCTAAACCTTATCCCTAAAACCCTTAAACCCCAAAAACCCTAAACCCTGAAAACCGGTAGGCCCTGCCCTAACCTGCAAACCCCGAGCCGGTCCCTACATGCTGAATCCGAAAGCCCCTCCACACCAAATCGCCTGTGGCCCCTAAGCCCCCTACGATCCCCTATGAATTCTTCTTAGTTTAGGGTGTAGGGTTTTGGGGTTTTAGGGTCTAGGTTATAGGTTTTAGGGTTTAGAGTTTATTTAGAGTTTAGGGTTTAGAGTTTAGGGGTTAGGGTTCATTCTTCTTACGCCGCCCATCAAAGCCCTTACGCCGCCCTTGGCAACTGCATAAAAACCTTAAGGCCTGTGCAGCCTTAATACAACCGTATAATAAAGGGGCCTCAATCATTAGAATAGGGTTCGGGGGTATATTCTACCATAGTTTTTCAGGAACCCCCAAAACCCTCCGCCCCGAGAACTCTGAGCCCCGGTGCCCGAGCAAAGGGCGCTGGCATTGTTTCACTGCCTCGGCCGCTGATGAAAAAAGGTCTGAGGAGTGCGGTTCAGGGGTTTAGGGTTTTGGGGCTTAGGAGCTTCGGGCTCAGGGTTTTGGGTTTTGGGTTTAGGGATTAGGGTTTAGAGGAGTGCCTCTGCAGCGGCTTTTCAGGGTCTTACATATGGCGTTAGTTCAGGGTTATGTACTGCGGTTCACTGTGGATTTAGCCAGGGGCTTGGGCTTTTGGATCTAGCATTTCGGGCTTGGGATTCTGGGGGTTTAGGAGGGAGACCTGGAGTTGGTCCTATTTCATTACCTACTTGGAGGTTCATGGGTAGTTATAATTGGGGTTATAAGTAGGGTAACTATACTTATAACCCATATTAGGGGACTTATAACCCCACTTATAACTACCCATGAACCTCCAAGTAGAGGCTCCAAATAGA